ACTTGTGCTGTCCCGTCTCGAGTACTGCTCAGTACTCACTTCCCCCTTCAGAGCAGGAGAGATTGCTGAAATAGAGGGAATACAGAGAACATATACGGCACGCATAGACGAGATAAAACACCTAAATTATTGGGATCGTCTCAAAGCTCTCCAAATGTACTCTCTAGAAAGGAGACGAGAGAGATACCAAATAATATACACCTGGAAAATACTGGAGGGTCAGGTCCCAAATCTACACAGTAAAATAACAACGTACTGGAGTGAACGATATGGAAGAAAATGCAAGATTGAACCTGTGAAGAGCAGAGGTGTCATAGGCACAATCAGAGAGCACTGTATAAACATCAGGGGTCCGCGGTTGTTCAACGTCCTCCCAGCGAGCATAAGAAATATTGCCGGAACAACCGTGGACATCTTCAAGAGAAAACTGGACGGTTTTCTAAGAGAAGTTCCGGATCAGCCGGGCTGTGGTGGGTACGTGGCCCTGCGGGCCGCTCCAAGCAACAGCCTGGTGGACCAAACTCTCACAAGTCGAGCCTGGCCTCGGGCCGGGCTTGGGGAGTAGAAGAACTCCCAGAACCCCATCAACCAGAATCAACCAACCAGGTACCTACAACACTGTACTCCACCTACAACACTGTACTCCACCTACAACACTGTACTCCACCTACAACACTGTACTCCACCTACAACACTGTACTCCACCTACAACACTGTACTCCACCTACAACACTGTACTCCACCTACAACACTGTACTCCACCTACAACACCGTATTCCACCTACAACACCGTATTCCACCTACAACACTGTACTCCACCTACAACACTGTACTCCATCTACAACACAGTACTCCACCTACAACACTGTACTCCACCTACAACACTGTACTCCACCTACAACACAGTACTCCACCTACAACACTGTACTCCACCTACAACACAGTACTCCACCTACAACACCGTACTCCACCTACAACACCTACAACACTGTACTCCACCTGTACAACACACCGTATTCCACCTACAACACTGTACTCCACCTACAACACTGTACTCCACCTACAACACTGTACTCCACCTACAACACTGTAGTACTCCACCTACAACACTGTACTCCACCTACAACACTGTACTCCACCTACAACACTGTACTCCACCTACAACACTGTACTCCACCTACAACACTGTACTCCACCTACAACACTGTACTCCACCTACAACACTGTACTCCACCTACAACACTGTACTCCACCTACAACACTGTACTCCACCTACAACACAGTACTCCACCTACAACACTGTACTCCACCTACAACACTGTACTCCACCTACAACACCTCCACCTACAACACTGTACTCCACCTACAACACTGTACTCCACCTACAACACCTACTCCACCTACAACACTGTACTCCACCTACAACACTGTACTCCACCTACAACACTGTACTCCACCTACAACACCGTACTCCACCTACAACACTGTACTCCACCTACAACACTGTACTCCACCTACAACACTGTACTCCACCTACAACACTGTACTCCACCTACAACACTGTACTCCACCTACAACACTGTACTCCACCTACAACACTGTACTCCACCTACAACACCGTACTCCACCTACAACACAGTACTCCACCTACAACACTGTACTCCACCTACAACACTGTACTCCACCTACAACACAGTACTCCACCTACAACACAGTACTCCACCTACAACACTGTACTCCACCTACAACACTGTACTCCACCTACAACACAGTACTCCACCTACAACACTGTACTCCACCTACAACACTGTACTCCACCTACAACACTGTACTCCACCTACAACACTGTACTCCACCTACAACACAGTACTCCACCTACAACACTGTACTCCACCTACAACACTGTACTCCACCTACAACACAGTACTCCACCTACAACACTGTACTCCACCTACAACACAGTACTCCACCTACAACACAGTACTCCACCTACAACACTGTACTCCACCTACAACACTGTACTCCACCTACAACACTGTACTCCACCTACAACACAGTACTCCACCTACAACACTGTACTCCACCTACAACACTGTACTCCACCTACACCTACAACACTGTACTCCACCTACAACACTGTACTCCACCTACAACACTGTACTCCACCTACAACACCACCTACAACACTGTACTCCACCTACAACACTGTACTCCACCTACAACACTGTACTCCACCTACAACACTGTACTCCACCTACAACACAGTACTCCACCTACAACACAGTACTCCACCTACAACACTGTACTCCACCTACAACACTGTACTCCACCTACAACACTGTACTCCACCTACAACACACTGTACTCCACCTACAACACTGTACTCCACCTACAACACTGTACTCCACCTACAACACAACACAGTACTCCACCTACAACACTGTACTCCACCTACAACACTGTACTCCACCTACAACACTGTACTCCACCTACAACACTGTACTCCACCTACAACACTGTACTCCACCTACAACACTGTACTCCACCTACAACACTGTACTCCACCTACAACACTGTACTCCACCTACAACACTGTACTCCACCTACAACACACTCCACCTACAACACTGTACTCCACCTACAACACTGTACTCCACCTACAACACTGTACTCCACCTACAACACTGTACTCCACCTACAACACTGTACTCCACCTACAACACTGTACTCCACCTACAACACAGTACTCCACCTACAACACTGTACTCCACCTACAACACTGTACTCCACCTACAACACTGTACTCCACCTACAACACTGTACTCCACCTACAACACTGTACTCCACCTACAACACTGTACTCCACCTACAACACTGTACTCCACCTACAACACAGTACTCCACCTACAACACTGTACTCCACCTACAACACTGTACTCCACCTACAACACTGTACTCCACCTACAACACTGTACTCCACCTACAACACTGTACTCCACCTACAACACTGTACTCCACCTACAACACTGTACTCCACCTACAACACTGTACTCCACCTACAACACTGTACTCCACCTACAACACTGTACTCCACCTACAACACTGTACTCCACCTACAACACTGTACTCCACCTACAACACAGTACTCCACCTACAACACTGTACTCCACCTACAACACTGTACTCCACCTACAACACTGTACTCCACCTACAACACTGTACTCCACCTACAACACAGTACTCCACCTACAACACTGTACTCCACCTACAACACAGTACTCCACCTACAACACTGTACTCCACCTACAACACTGTACTCCACCTACAACACTGTAC